CTGGCAAGTAGCTGCAGCAGGCTCTTCTGCAGACCAGCCCCTAGAGAGAAACAAAGGCACGCATCCTCCTAGTGTGGGTCACAGGTACAAAGGTGGAAGGGGTTGACTGGCTGAAATTAAAAGGGGTGCAGAAAAGGGATTCTAAAGTCGGTCTCCAGCCCTTCAGAATTCACCTGCAGCTAGGAATCGCAGCAGGGTAGATCTTAGCTTAGCCTAGGCAGGGCTGCCCCGGGGGGGCGGGCAAAAGGGGCTGTTTGCACAGGGCCTCCTATTTGAGAGAGGCCCCCAACTGAGTGGCGATGCGACCTAATGCAAACCTGAGCAGTACTGCAGCATTGTGCACCAGGTCACAATACCATTCACTCAAATTTAACCCAGTGACCGCTCTGTCATGATAAAGGGGCAGCCAGGCCAAACTGTAGTAGTGCTGCTACCCCGGGCATCAAGTTGCAATACCTGGAGCAGAGAGCCAGCCCTAGCCCCGCAAGATAGGAGCTGCCTCTACAGGGTGACTGTGGGGTGGGCTCACTCTCGAACCCCCAGACCTTCCCTGGATAGTAATTGTTTAAAGGAGTGTGGGGGCTCAGTATCAGATTTTGCCCCGAGCCTAGGTTTTTGGGAAACACTTTCTTATACTTAAAGCTGTGCCTTAAGAAGGGGGTAATTATTACTATAATTTTGTTACTGGAACTTTGCAATTCAAATCTATTGATTTTTACAGGGATTTTAATTAAAGTCCACTGTTCTAGATACCTGCAATGGCCTCTCTCTTTCTCTCTGCTCTCTTTCTCTCCTCATGGATTTTTATAAGCTTACAATCCACATCTCCCATGCTACTACAACTTCAGAGTGTGACCAAAGGAAAATCATTCACAATCTTGCCTGAAAAAACCGGCCTTTTTAATAGAAGACATTACACTGCAGAAACCACCTGCTTACCCTTAAATAGACCAGCCAAGATCCTGAAAAAATCAGCCTGTATGGGGTTGATTCAGGACCTCTTGTGACTGTCTCAGTCAGCCCAACCCAATCTGAAAAGTCACCACTTTGGAATTGTCTCGTTATGCAGGCAGCAGAGATGTCCTGTCAATAGCAGGAACTAACACAAAAGAGGGACTCCTCACTGAGCCCCAAAGCATTACTTACCCCAAGACAAGTTTCCTGAGGGGATGGAGAGGAGAGGAAATATAGCTTGACAACAGGATGTAGAATGGCTTGCTTAGATGATAGCCATGCTTGAAGAAGCTCTGTCTTTCTCCCCCCATCTTCCCTATAACCTCTCATGCTAGTCCCCACTCTGCGGATTTCAATGGAAGCTGGGGAATAAGTGCAGGGTGACAACACTTTTCTCTCTCGGTTCCTGATGCTTGATTCTATTAAAGCGAGGAAGCATTCTGGGTACTCATGGCATAGATCGGGCCATCTTCTGTCAGAGTTGTAATATGGAGAGACAAGCTCAGTGCTCCTTGGATTCTGGAGAGCCGGGGAAGGGATTAAATGCACTTTTCTCCATTGATTTATGTCTTACACTGAAAATCAATGCTGTTCTCTCGGATCCATCCACGCTGCTGTTTGAGAACCAGCAGCCTGTTGGGCCAAGTGTGAGGGGGAAAGTTCTGAAGGAATCCAGTTTCTACTCAATGGGCAGATGAGACAGACACCACTCCCTTTTAGCAACTGTTCCATTTGCCCGCTATGATGGCTTTTGCTAGTTGTCTCCACTAGTTGGATATGCCATGTAAAGCTCCTTTTTTTGTCATTGTTACAGGGAGAACAGCCGTATAGTAGACAATGAGCCAAATTCTGCTCTCATTTACATCTGTGAAACCAACAGGGGTTACCCAGATGTAACTGAGAGTCAAATTGGGCTGTTTCTGTTAACAAAGCAATGGGAAGAGGGAGGTTTCTTTGTACCTTGGGTACCAATCACCATCACTTCTCTCTGATGGAACCCATGTGTGTGTCAGCACCTGCTGAGATCAGAGTAGCTACATTTTCCTGTCAAAATCATTTCCTGTCCTGAAGTAAATATTTAAAAAGTCTCTGTCACAGTGAAGAGCCAGGTTACGAAAGTCCTTGAAAGACAGGAAGGAAAATGTGTAAAGGCTATATTTTTTCCCCAGCGCTGGATGTTTTCGTTTTAGTGACGGTGGAAAGTGATGGCCTAACAGATCTGGAGACAGATGCCTTTGTTCCAAAGAACACGTCCAGCGGCAAGGCAAGCTACACTCACTCTCTACCTCATTGATGTACCTCAACTCTGTCTGGGTGGGACCTCTCTTAGGGGCCGTTGAGTAGCTCTGATGTGCTAAAGAGCTTCAATTACCTCCAAGCTGGGCTGGATCCGAACTGATGGTGTAGCAGTAAAGGGCTCTCTATCGCCTAAAATAAGTTCCCTGAGCCACAGGGGCAGTTAGCTGAGGAACAAAAGAAATGCATGGGAAATACTCATCGGTCTGTGTTAGACTGTTCACCTTTGATCTTGGGACATTTCTGTAGGCAGCTAGGCATGGAATTTCCAAACCTGAACATAAAGGCCTGAGGCACAGTCTGACCCAAACCGAAACTTCAAAATGAAAGAGAACAACCCGTGGCAACAGCCTCATGGCTTACAGTGTACACTTCACATCAAGAGATTCGTTCTGGGCCCAGCTTTAATTCGTTCTGGGCCCAGCTTTGCAGCCAGTCCAGGGCTGATTGGGAGCAGAGTGGTTGCATAATCCACCCCTCCAGGTGGGTGAAGCTTTAAAATAATTTTAAATGATAATAAGTGCTCTGCATTGCCTGTTCTCTTCTGCTGTGGAGGTGTGAATGCCCAAGAATGTTAAACAATGATAGATGGTATCCTGGTATTATAGTTTAATATAGCGTTAATCTGAAGTACTTATTATTTATTTGTTTTGCTGTAGCACTAGGAGTCTCCATCATGGATCAGAACCCCATTGTGCTAGGTGCTGCACAAACACAGATGAAAAAGACTTACCCTACCCCAAGATCTTACAATCATGGCTCTCATTACTGAAGTATCTGAGCACTTCATCATCATTAACGTCTTTACTGTCATAACACCCATGTGGAGTTGGGAAGTGCTATTAACCCCACTTTACTAATAGGAGACTGGGGCACAGATGGACTAAACGACTTGTCCAAAGTCATACTGGAAGTTTGTGACAGAGCAGGAAATTGAGTCCAGATTTCTTGAGCACCAGGCTAGTGTTATTAGTCACTGGATCATCATCATCTCTCATCTAGAGCATGATACCCAAGTTCATAGCACCGCTCATAAGAGTGAAGGTTTATCCTGATGCAGTTGGTCAAGATTTTTGCTCTCCTCATTGTGGTGCAATGTGTTGACTCTTCTGGCAACTCCCCAGGGAACTGCATCTTAGTGGTGATAGAAGTGACTTCTTGATGTGTGTAACGTGCTGTGGATGAAAGTTGCTGAATATACACAAACGCATAAAACATTATCATTGTGGTCAGTGCAGTGAGATTATCACTCACTTTCTCTTACCACAGCAGCAGAAAACTTCATCTAGCTCCCGCAAGAGAGATCTTCCAGAGTAGACAAGGGATAACATTTCAAAAGTGCCTCAGTGACTTAGGAGCCAAAGTCCCACTGACTTTCAATAAGACTTTGGCTCCTAAGTATCTAGACACTTTTGAAAACTTTACCCACTACCCAAATTTTTGAATACATGGGTTCCCACCCATCTGCGCATCACAAACAGGTATCAGGGCGATCATAAACATCCTCCCTTTCCTTATAGTCAGATGGCGGGGAGTCCTGAAACTTATGGCAAAGGGGAATCACAAAAAAATGGTTTCCATTGTAACATGAGATAATGGGATGGAAAAGGCTGAAAAACAGCCTGTTTTGGCGAAAATCTTTCAGTCTTTCTTTATGATCGGAAAGGAGAAGAGGCACAAGTCCAACTTTTTGTTTCCTTGCAGGTCTCCTTTCAGTAATTTGAGCCCAATCCTGTTATGTTCTAGTTGCTTCCTGTGCAGGGCTGAGCACACCTGACATGCAGTGAGATCATTGTAGGACAGGTAATGTACATGCAAGAGCCAAGCATTATTGTAAGAAGGGACTAACTGACTGATTTCAACCTATGGATATGTTCTCATTCAATCAGATCAGTGGAGATTGAATACTGGTGTGGAGGACAATGACTGGGTATTTAGTATGAAATTCTCTTTTACTGGCTGTTTCCAGCTACCGCTGCTGAGGTATAGTCTTATTACATGAATGAAACACTGGCTGCAGCATCAGCTAAGCAGGGCTTCAACTGGCAGTGCTGTGACCCCACCGAGACAGTAATTTAAATCTAGGTATCAGAACGAAGGGAAAAAACCATCTGTTTGTCTAGATGCTCAGCTGCCACGGTGATGACTGACCTTATAAAGACCTATGTACATACATTCTGTGGCCTTCATCATTGCAATAGCTGGTTGCCTTCTATTTGTCCCTCTCAGCTAAGGGCCGGGTCCTGCAAAGTGGTTCACATGGGCAGCGTCTTGCACCCCACACAGAGCCCTCTTTAAATCAGTGGAGCTCCAGGCAAGCCCCTGCAGCTCCATGTGCAGGATCGGGCCCTAATAGCCCCTCCTGTTTGCTCTCAGTGGTAATCAAAGTAAGGAGGGAACTCACAAAATGAATCAATTTTTCTTCAGTTGTTTTGCTTGGGGTTTTTTTCCTCCTTAGGAAATTAACACTGTGCTTTCAAAGGGAAAAAACACCACCACCACACCACCCTGGGAATGCCCCTGAGTGGGAACATAAATGTGAATTCTGCAGCTTCTCTGCTGCCGATGACAATGACACTTGTATGTATGTGGATGTCTATCTATTTATCTAGTGCATGTATTTTTTCCAAGGGAGTCTATGTCTCTGGCCCTTGAGTGACGAGTGCCTAATTTTTCCAGGCTGAATCTTGACTGTCTCCAAACTTAACTATTTTGACACCAGAGAAGACTGGTTGTTTCCCCTCAGAAGGTAGAGCTGCATTATTGCCAGAAGTACATCTCACCCACATGACTGGCCTTCAATGCTAATCCCAGTTGATGGTAGGGAGGGGCTGTCCTGGGAGGCAGCCATGTGGTTAACATTGTGCACAGTGTATTTTTTTCTCCTCTTCGCTCCTTTTCTTTTCAGACATGCAAAATTGTTCCATACAGCCATAGATGTGTCTCCCTGCTGCACTGCCTCTGTCTTTTCTCTTCCAGAAACTCAAGGGCCTGAATTAGCAGGCAGAGATATCTAAAATCTGCTATCAAATCTGGATGGAAACTGGAAAGGGGATGAATAGCAGAAGGCAAGAAAGAGCAAAGTTGGTTATTTTTCTGGCACATGGATGCAATTACGCTCAGTGCATTCCAGAGGCGTTCCTTTGAATTCTGTGCAGGTCTGCCTACCATTCCTGGGAGAAAGGAAGAAAAAGGGAGGAAAAGTCTCTCTCTCTCCTGGAGACGGAATGTCTGCACTTTCCATCCTCTTTTTAGGTGAGTGGGGCTTTTTTTATGGAAATTAAACTTACATATGCTTTCTCTGGGCAACAGAATATGCCACAGGGACCAGCAAAGGAGAAGCTCTTGCAAAGAAAAAAACTTGTAGCAAAGTCTGTTGAGTTCAGAGACTGACTGGTTTAATTTTGTTGTTGGAGTTTTTGTTGTTCTTGTTTTAATTATTACCAGGTTTGGAAACGGGAGAATTTTTAAACCTGATTTTGCTTTCATATGTATCGATCAAACCTAGTCATTACAGTGTGAGTTATTTTTATTTTGAAAAGGTGCAGCGGTTTTAAGCCGTGAACTATTTAGCGGTTTGACTGTTCTTTACAAAACAAAGGTGAAGAAAGTGTCTTTGTTCCAGGGATGGTGTCAAATTTGTTTAATTTTATTTTGCTTCATCCAGGAATTTTAATTTCAGGTTAAAAAAATAAAAAGAGCTTATTGTTTCCAGTAGACGCTGCAGACAGCTCAGATTAGAAACAGATGTGTTAAAGTGCAAGTGGAAGGGAGGTGGGGGAGAGAGATGGGGAAAGGGACGAGGAGAGGAAGGTAGAGAAAGGGAGAGAGAAGGCGACAAAGAGGAGAGAGAAGGGGGGGAGTGAGACAAAGTAATACGGGATGGAGAAAGGAGAGAGGGAGAAGAGAAAGGGAGTGACTGAAGGATGGATAGGGAGAGGGGTAAAAGAGAAACTGGGGAGAGAGAGGAGTGGATGAGAGGAATTAAAGTATGAGAAGGAGTGAAAAGAAAGAGGGAGGCAGAGGACAGGAAGGGAAGATGAGTGAAAGAATGAATGGAGGAGGAAGGGGTAAGAAAGGCAGACTGGAAGGAGGGATGTTTATTAAAGAGGAGACCTCTGGAGGAAGGGATTTGCAGCCCTGTGGTATTTGAGGGACCTCGCCTGAGTGACAGGCTCCGAAGCAGCTTCTGGTCTCCAGAGGCTCCACAGTGCAATGAGTGAGCCTCTGTCCCCATTCCCCTGCCAGATTTCACTGACAGGCAGACAGCTCCACGAGAAATCTCGTGTCAGGGCCGGACGTGGGCTGTGATGGCTGGATCCCCGCCAGCAGACTGAGGTTGGGTGTGAGGGCAAGGTCTCCTCCTCTCTGGGGAGCGCGGGGTGCCACAAACTCTGAGGGGCAGGTCAGAGAGCCACCACAATGGCTTGAGACGGGAAGATGGAGATGCTGGAATGGAAGGTCTTGTCTGCTGAGGCTCATAGGTCTGAAAAACAGAGACTAGTCAGCATTCTAAATAGGGCTCCAAGAGACGCGAGACCGTCAGTAGAGCTGGCTGAGTAATAATCACGACTCATGTGCTCCATTCATTTTTCCCTGCTCCATCAGTTGTTACATACATTAATTGCGAACAAAGGTTTTCGTCACTCGAGTGTAAGGTTTCCTCTGCAGGGACGTGGGCTGGAGTGCCAGAGACTGCTGGAGGCAGTTCAGAGACGCTGCAAAGTCTGCAGCAGAAGTGCGAGTAGGAGCTTGTCCCCTCTATGCGTTAGCCTCTGCCCTTCTGTCTCCACCCGCTGAGGGTGTTTGAGAGACTCTGATAGCACATGGCCTTCCAAAGGCACTGGGGTAAAGACTAACAGCCAGGCTCCTCTTAAAAGGGTCAGTACTGGGTCTGCCACAGAACCACCACCATATTGGCACTACCTAGCCTAGTTTTATCAGTGGTTAAGGGAGGTAGCAGGGGAGGTCAGTGCAGTAGCTGAGAAGGAGGGGGAATTGTGGAGAGCACTGCTTGCCCCAGCCAGTGAGAGTAATTTCCCCCCACTTTAACCACTGAGTCTTATTAAGGTTGCTACACATGTCGGACGGACAGGAAGTCAGAATTAAGCCTTAGCTGCATTTATACTTTGCATTGCTGTAGAAACCCTTATCCAAGAGTCCCAAATAACTCATGATTATTTGCATTCTAATAGTCTCTAGAGGTCCCATGGTGCTAGGTGTTGTATGTATCTATAGTTAGAGCCCTGCATGGATACATTTGCATCTGCATCCGATCCGCAAACATGGGCTGTGGATATCCGCAGATTTGCAGGGCTCTACCTATAGTGAAAGATGGTCCTTGCCCTAAAGAGCTTATAGTTTAAATAATCATGAAGGAGTTAAGCCTTACCATCCCTTTGTGAATCTTGGAAGTATTGTTACCCCCATTCTGGCAGAGGGGTAAGTTAAGAGACTTCCCCATGATCATAGCAGAGGTGGGAATAGAACCCAGTTCTCATAGTCCTCTCATCTCAGACACAAAATTGTCTTGCACCTCTTTTGTCCTTTGTCTCTTCTGCCCCTACTGTACCTGCTCTGTAGCTAAATAGAGGAATCCAGCCCCATTCACTAATAATATGCTTCAGAGAAAAATAAGAAGGGGCCATGGCTCCTCTTCTTGGGATCCAGACATCGGGGTGAGATATAGGAAGGCTGGAGAGTCTCATTCACTAGCCGAAAGCAATCCACTTGCAACTATGTTTTTGAAGCTCCAACAGCCCACTTCTCTTCTTGCTGTTAAAGCAAAGGGAATAGCCTTGGGATAGCATTTGAAAGACACAAGCAAGGTCTGGGAGGAGGGTAGTCGAGGGGAAGTGAAGCACAGCTTGCTTTTCGTTGTTATTAAAGATGTCTATGGCACTGCCAAAATAATGCTGTGCTTTACGGACAGGATGAGGGATGGTCCCTGCCCCAAAACAGTCTAATGGAGATAAGTTTGGGTAAAGATGGGAGGGGAGTCAATGGTGAGAAACAGGAGCAAATGACTCTTGGAAGAAGGGAGATTTAAAGAAGGGAGGTTGCGCTCTTAAAGTATGAGCAAAAGGCATGAAACAGAGAGTGGGTGGAGGGAACAGAAAAAAGAGAAGTAGAAGGAAAATGTGAAGTGTTTCTAGCTCTGGAGGCATCGGATTCCAATCTCAATCACACTAGAGCTGGTTGAAAGTTTGCTTTCAAATTGTGTTGTCAACAAAAATGGCTTTTGGGTCGTCAAAATGCAAATGTTTGTGGGAAATGTCCATTTTTGATGACTTTTCTTAAAAACCTGAACACTCATTTTTTTTCACCTTTTTGGCAACTAAAAGCTGAAAACAATCATCCAGTTGAGCAAATATTTTCAATAAAACCAAAATGTTTTGCTTAAATGACTGAATTTTTTGTGCCAAAAGTTAAAAAATTCAGTTTTGAGATTTTGTTTCTTTTTTTTCAGTAAAAAGCCTCCTCCCCCCAATTGTAGAAAATTTGAGGCAGACAAAAAATGTTGTTTTGCTAATTTTTCACATGAAAAAAAAAATCATACCAGTTTCACATTGGTATAATTATGTTGACTTCAGAAGACTTTGGATTTACAATAGTGTGAATCAAAACAGAATGAGGCCCCTCAATGTACCCATCTGGAGGGAACCTGGTAGAAACATTTCACTAGAGCTGAATGGAAAAATGCCAAAATGAAATTTTAGTGAAAAAGAGGGGAAGGGGGGAAGGCTTTTTGCAAAACTTGTCTTCCATTTTCCAATCAGTTCCAGAACTGTCATCCCATTGAAAAATATCCCCATTCAAAAAAAATTGTTTGTAAAAATATGCATCAGCACATGCAATTTTTAGACTTAACTTACACTAGAGCTAAATTTGACCCCTTTATCTTGGGAAAGGTTTTGTGAATCACAAAGCTAGAAAATATTCCCAGGTGCTCCATACTAGAGACATAAGAGATGTTGGCAACCACACTGGCTGTGTCTAGCTTCAGAGATAGATGGGTTCTAGACCCAAAAGAGCATAAGCTTTGCCTGACCAGATCATATCATTCATCCATCTAGTCTAGCATTCTGCCTCTTGCAGTGGCTGAGACATGATGCTTCAGAGAGATGTGAAACCCACCCTAATGTCCTAAGTGCTGCTGCAATGTTGTATGGCTTGGCAAGAGTACTTACAAATCAGTAGATAAACTGCCTCATAGATCTGCACAGTGGAGATAACCTCCCTGTCGGAACTACAGCAAATTTATTACATGGAAAATTAATCTGGGGGAAGTATTCATAGCTTCTTTTAATGTGACTGACCAGCTGGAGGCAAAGAAGAGCCAGCGGCGCGCCATGTGACCAGTCTGCTCTCTGCTTGGGTCACAGCCTGAGAGCAACTGCTGTATGTACTATCTTTTGGGGGGGACGTTGGGGGTGAGAGAGACAGGATTAGGTTGTAATGAATATAAAGGGAATTCTTTATTTGGCTGCTGGACACCAACAGACCCTGTAGTTCTCTCTAGCTCCCTGATCAACTGATACAGTTAGTGTTGCCTAAAGTTGCCACACAGGTTCTCCCCAAGACCTGGGGAGCAGTCATGGAAGGCACTACAGGGTGATTACACTACATTAAACATTCTCCATAAACACCCTAAAGCATGAAATGTGATTCATCTTTATCATAATCTTGACTCTGACTTCCAAATATTCACTATCACTTAGCATCTTCAAAGCTCTTTATGAGTGCTAATTAATCCCCACAACACTCTCAGTAAGTATTGTTATCCCTATTGTACAGCTAGGGAAGCAGCCAGTGGGTAAGTAACTCAACCAAGGTTATGCAGAGAATCCTGGACAAAGAAAAGTTAAAACTAAAGCTGGTCAAGAATTCCCCACCCTCCCCCACCCCGCTCCCTCCCATGAAAAATATCAGTGAAAATAAAGAGTTTTGTGGAAAAAAAAACTTTTCTTTTTTTGTGTTTTTGTTGAAAACCCCTAAACCGTAAATGGGTGTTTGGTTTGTTTTCTGCAACCAATCCCCCAAATATCTCCATTTAATATCAGTTTTTGATGAAAATTTGAAAAAAAAAATGGACAAAACCCCCTAGAAATATTTTGGGGAAGAAAAAAATCTAGTTAACACTCAGGAACTCATGGCAGGAGCACAGGGCTTGGGCAGATTAGATCACACTTCAGTCTCTAGAGGCAACGTATGCCACAAACTGACTGTGTGTAATAAACAGGAGTTTTTCTAGC